AGTATTTTAGAAGTCTACCAACGTTTCAGAGGTACTTTATACCTCCATCCTCAGGGCGATGATGGAGTGATCAAGTACCTTTGAAACCGATTGCCTCCCGAATAATAGTCTTGGTCTGTGCCGCAAGACGTGTTTTGTGTTTAACGATAGAAAACTAACCAAAATGGGTTTGGTACTGCTTAACTCAATTATAACATAATATTTATTTCCAGTTTTTATACTCCGAAACCTTAACAAATTGCATCAGTTTCTTTATTGTGCGATGTCTTTCTCGTTGCTGCTGAAAATTAAATTACGGGAGGCATCAGAAGCCGTCCATGTACCGGAATGGTCCATTTCACTGTCAAGTGCTACGGCCTCGTAAAACTCTCGCTTTTTTCGCCACGTTCGTGCGCCAGCTTCCATAATTGCCGAATACATATGTTTGTAGCATGAAGTATGAACTGGATTCATATGGCTCAGGATAGAGTATAATGACGGATTTCTCTGAAGATTATGATAAAATTTCAGTTCCAGTAAAATCAGAGATTTTTTTACTGTCTTAATAATATTGACATTTCAAGAGATATCCTGAACAACTGAACTAGGTACTTGATATTTCAAAGGAGAAAACTAGTTTTATCTCTGAATCTGATGATAACGTGAACAGGAAAACGTGGCCTATGCGACAAAATACTCTTATCCACCTTCAAAATCAAAATAATGGGGACTTGAGAGAGTAATGGCATTCTAAAATCCAGCCAGGTGTTTCGTATGTTTTATATCATAATATTTAAAACTTAAAATTGGTTTTGCGCATGGAATGCTTTAGCTGTACATCATAGATATCGATTACTCTACAGAGCTTGCTTAATCGAGTAAAACCTTACCTGATATCTCAATACGATGATCTCGCCTGACTGATTCAGAACGTGACCGAGGAAGATAAGTACTTGCTGTCATCTCGTCAGCAAACTCCTTCATCTCAACTGATAGCGTCTCGCGTCTTTGGCTCCAGATTGGAAGTGATTACGAGCGCTACTCTTATTTGATCAGAACCCTTTCTGTGAACGAAGTGAGCTATTTCTTACCTGTTTTCTCGGGATCATGCTTCAGAAACTCTTCAAGTAGTTGCTCTCGTCTGGCCAGTATCTGACAGCTCAACTCTCGAATTGCAGAGCTTTCGACTAAGCCTACTCGTTGTCTGAACGTCAGCTTCTTAGTTTGTGGAGTGGCTGCTGTGAACTGTACGAAGTGGGGCGCCAGCTGTGGTCCCACCAATTTAACGTAAGCTCCTTTGTTGGAGCCCACTTCATAATAGTTGGAAGCGGAGAATATAGTAATTACCTAAGACACAAAACGAATGAGTTAATTACGTTCGACGAGATGGGGATGCTCTAAGGCCGCATCGATTAACCGACTAATTTAACAGAACAGTCTAAAAGGTACATAATGTCCTTTTTATGGTGGCATCTGACCTACGCGAGAGGCGAGTGAAATTCAGCAAGGCTGTGAGACCTGATGACGGAAGAATAACTATGTCAGTGACAGAGTAGCGTGGCGGAACTTCAATGTTATTGCAGTGTCAGTCATGATTTTTGTTGTGCTCCGGACTGGAAACAACCTGTATTATTCAGTTTTGTACAGTTTTGATTAGTAGTGATTTTAGTATAAGCCGTATCAGTAGCTGGTGCTAGCTAATATCACCACGCTAAATTAATTGCGCTGATCATATACCCTCTGGTGAGGGAACAGATCTGAGTGGTATCCTCAAAATAACAGGGCATTAGATTGTTCTAGTACAGAGTAATTAGAAAGTATGTGGGTGTTTACTGCAGCTAAATGCATAACATTAGTTACCATCGAAAAAGCGGCTTAATTATACCAGTTATCATGGCAACATTGGTTAATATGAAGACAACGTTTCAAGCATGTAACGTTTATGGACAGACACCGTGATAGCGGTTTAAATAACAATGGTTACCATGGTGACACGTTCTAACTAAGGTGGCATTGGTAATGGTGGCAAAAGCGAATTCACGTAAGGTAAGCTAAGCTGTCCCTCTACACGCCATATAGGTCGTTTGGGGCGAGTGCAGGTATAGCTCCTGATTGAACTGGAGACATACCAGAATACCGACGCCGAGTGTCGCGACGCCTACTATTTCGACGCCACCGCAAGAACGCATGAACGATTTTTGGATAATTATAATAATATCTGGAGCGATTTTAGAAAATCGACGCCCGGCGTCGCGACGCTTATTCTTACGACGCCTGCAAATAACTTAAAATTAACAGCAAAAAGTTCCCAGATGATATCTAATCCTCAAGTACAAAACCGACGCCGAGCGTCGCGACGCCTAGTGACGCCATCAAAAGACGCCTAAAGAGGAATATAACTATGATATGACGTTGGAAATAATACTAGAAAAACAACGCCAAATGTAGCGACGCTTTCGAAGGACGAAATTTTACCAAAGACGGCGCCCCAACCTAACCTAACCTAACCTAACCTAACCGATCCTAACCTATACTAACCTACCGAACCGAACCTAACCTAACCTAACCTAACCGATCCTAACCTATACTAACCTACCGAACCGAACCTAACCTAACCTAACCTAACCGATCCTAACCTATACTAACCTACCGAACCGAACCTAACCTAACCTAACCTAACCGATCCTAACCTATACTAACCTACCGAACCGAACCTAACCTAACCTAACCTAACCGATCCTAACCTATACTAACCTACCGAACCGAACCTAACCTAACCTAACCTAACCGATCCTAACCTATACTAACCTACCGAACCGAACCTAACCTAACCTAACCTAACCGATCCTAACCTATACTAACCTACCGAACCGAACCTAACCTAACCTAACCTAACCGATCCTAACCTATACTAACCTACCGAACCGAACCTAACCTAACCTAACCTAACCGATCCTAACCTATACTAACCTACCGAACCGAACCTAACCTAACCTAACCTAACCGATCCTAACCTATACTAACCTACCGAACCGAACCTAACCTAACCTAACCTAACCGATCCTAACCTATACTAACCTACCGAACCGAACCTAACCTAACCTAACCTAACCGATCCTAACCTATACTAACCTACCGAACCGAACCTAACCTAACCTAACCTAACCGATCCTAACCTATACTAACCTACCGAACCGAACCTAACCTAACCTAACCTAACCGATCCTAACCTATACTAACCTACCGAACCGAACCTAACCTAACCTAACCTAACCGATCCTAACCTATACTAACCTACCGAACCGAACCTAACCTAACCTAACCTAACCGATCCTAACCTATACTAACCTACCGAACCGAACCTAACCTAACCTAACCTAACCGATCCTAACCTATACTAACCTACCGAACCGAACCTAACCTAACCTAACCTAATCTACATCACAAAAATCCCTTTTTCACTTTCTTTCTCTCTCCTCTGCTGTCTTCTCTTGGGCAAGCGTCGTGACGCCGAACATCACGATGCCCTCAACAGACGCCAAATTAACATCGGAAAAGTCTCCTGATTGAACTGAAGACATACCAGAATAACGACGCCGAGCGTCGCGACGCCTACCATTTCGACGCCACTGCAAGAACGCAGGAACGATTCTAAGACAATTATAATAATATCTGGCGCGACTTTAGAAAATCGACGCCCGGCGTCGCGACGCTTATTCTTACGACGCCTTCAAATAACTAAAAATTGACAGCAAATAGTTCCCAGATATATAATCCTCAAGTACATAACCGACGCCGAGCGTCGCGACGCCTAGTGACGCCATCAAAAGACGCCTAAAGAGGAATATAACTATGATATGACGTTGGAAATAATACTAGAAAAACGACGCCAAAGATAGCGACGCTTTCGAAGGAAGAAATTTTACCAAAGACGGCGCAAAAACCTAACCTAACCTAAAATAGTCAAACCAAACCTAACCTAACCTAACCTAACCTAACCTAACCGATCCTAACCTAACCTAACCGATCCTAACCTAACCTAACCGATCCTAACCTAACCTAACCGATCCTAACCTAACCTAACCGATCCTAACCTAACCTAACCGATCCTAACCTAACCTAACCGATCCTAACCTAACCTAACCGATCCTAACCTAACCTAACCGATCCTAACCTAACCTAACCGATCCTAACCTAACCTAACCGATCCTAACCTATACTAACCTAACCGAACCTAACCTAACCTAACCTAACCTACATCACAAAAATCCCCCTTTTACTTTCTTTCTCTCCTCTGCTGTCTTCTCTTGGGCAAGCGTCGTGACGCCGAACATCACGATGCCCTCAAGAGACGCCAAATTAACTGCGGAAAAGTCTCCTGATTGAACTGGAGGTATACCGCAATGCTTGGCTTGCATCCAACAAGTCTATGCACAATGATAGTGAATAGACGCTTGCGTTGCGACGCTTAACATGGCGTCGCCTTCGAAATACGCCAAACGTACTGGAGATAAGTCCACAGAAGGCACCATACGAAAGTTTATAACCGACGCCGAGCGTCGCGACGCAATCTCCTCGAAGCCATCTCAGAACTTGTGGAGAGCGACTTAAACACATTGGACAATATTGGGAGCGACCTTAAGAAATCGACGCCCGGCGTCGCGACGCCTACCATCGCGATGGCTCAAAAATACGCCAGATTTACATCTCAGAAGTCTAGATTAAAGTGATATCGAAGTAGAAAACCGTCGCCGAGCGTCGCGACGCTATCAGCCGCGACGCCGGCACAGTATCACACGTGTGCTTCTCAAACCGTTGGGATAACATTGAAACCGAATTTTAGAAATCGACGCCCATCGTCGCGGCGCTTTCAAATAGAGCCTAATTCACATCATATGTTTCAGATAATAACGAACGTCGTGACGCCATCACATGATCTAAAAAATGGCGTCAAACCCGTTGTATTACGGTGGGCACGATACTAGATAGTTGACGCCGATAAGAGGGACGAAACGTTGTAGCGCCGTGGGCAAGAAGTGGATGTGTCGCCGAGTATACGATCTAACCTAACCTAACCTAACGTAACACACCATAACCTTACCTAACCTAACGCAACCCAATCTAACTTAATCTAACGTAACCTAATCCAACCCAACCTAACCTAACCTAACCTTTAAATATTTTAATAATCGAATCTACACCCCTGACACTGGTATGAACACTAATGTGTGTTGTTCCCTTTAATGGAACGTGATAATCAAGATTCTTGTATATGGCATATGAAAATTTAATATGCGTATTTCTTGTCAATTTACCAATATAAAAGGCTGTGGGTGTGGTGTATTTTAAGTACAGTATATAAGTAGATAGCTAATCAGCGTCATTATTTTAATTTTGTAAGTTCGCTTAAATTTATTAAGAATGTTCATTTACTGGAAGACAAGCTTCATTAAATTTTCTCAGAATTCGTTTTGTGACGTATTTGACTCATTGAAGGGAGTTTGCTTCTTAGAATTTTTCGTTCATTATTTCATAGCCTGCGAAAACATTAATTTACATAACATTAGAACATATAAAGAAATAAATTATTATATGTGGAGTCTAAATTAACTGAAGATTGTATATGTTGTGGTCCTGGTATGGAGTCTGTCCTGATCAGTCACTTGTACTTCTCATCCCTCAGAAATCCCGTCTGCTATGAGTAATCGTGTGTCAGGATTTTTGACGTCTCTAGCTCACCTACAAAGTTTATACAGTGTCGAATGAAACTGGAACATAGTCGCGAATGGTAAATATATAATAATTTTGAAAGTTTCGAATACACTGCCCTATTTTTCGCTTGAAAAAAGTTGAAGTAAACTATAGGAAACATTATTCAAGATAATCCGTAACTCGGCAGAAATTCGAACACACTGTCTATGACGTTACCTCCACACCAACGCGTATGATACGTAGAATGAATGAAGTTCTTATAAATGCAGTGACATTTAACGCTACAGGTAGGTGATGTTTCCTAGCGAAGGTAATTTGAAAGGAATTGAGTGGTAATCATATTCAAGAAAAAGGAGGACCGAAGTCTGTTGACACTTTCTCGACGCTGCCTTCACTTTCTGAGACATTTCCCATCTCGATTCATGAGGGTAAGAGACCATTAACTTAACAGTAGCTAAAGCGCAAAGATTGTAACATTGAAGCTGAAATATTTTCACGCTTTCAATCAATCCGGGACCCACGTGTTAGCACAGGCCTAATGTTACAAGTGCGGAACGGCTTCTAAGTGGATTTTTAATAAATTCTTGTTTTCTTTATCCTACATAAATATTGGGTGCTTTGAGGGCCATTAGCAGTATGGGAGATAGGAGTTGAAGGAAACTGGATTTTGTTGGCCCAGGACAGGGTCCGGTGGAAGGCTTTGGTTAATTCGGTGATGAACCTTTGGGTTCGGTAAGCCATCTAGTTGGTTGGGTCCACTATTTGGGAAGCCTCATGGGAAGAGACCTCTGGGGAGACCTAGACGTAGATGGGAGGACAATCTCAGGCGGGATCTATGGGAAATAGGAGTTGAAGGAAACTGGATTTTGTTGGCCCAGGACAGGGTCCGGTGGAGGGCTTTGGTTAATTCGGTGATGAACCTTCGGGTTCGGTAAGCCATCTAGGTAGTTAGTTAGCAGTTTACTCAGAAACTCTTCATGTTACATAAAATTAGAATAATGTAAAACATAGACTTTATTAAGATTCGCATCTGTTATTATAAATTTTTATCGATTTTTTAAATATAAAAACGAAGTAAAATAATTTCTAACTATGCATTCTGATGTCGCTATTACTATTATTTTGCCAGCAAGAATCTTGTCTTTTCAAGAAAGTAACATAAGAGTCGATGAGCTATGCAAGGTTTCAATTCAAGCAATGGAATTATATGTGTGCATCATCATCGGGTTCCGGGTCCGCTGTGTGACGACTGAGTCCTGCTTAGCACAGAATGTCCCTATTAATGGGCACATATACTAAGGGCATAGCATAAATAACATTGCTCCATAAAACTACTTGTGTCTAATTACTCCGGCCAGTTACTCCACCCAAGTGTAGCACACACGCCCTACCGTTCCACACACACTCTCACACACACGCAGCCCTCTTCGAGGACCAAGTGCATTAACGCTAATCCCTAAAGGAATAACTAATAACAATAAATGTCATGGTATATGTCTGCACGAACACTTGATAATTTGGACTTCCGAGCTGCTTAATATGAGACGACAGTTCCGTGTTGTGCGGTATGAAGGGTTGATGACCTTTGCTGGGGGCTAAGTAAATCCACGATAAACCTAAATCTCTCTGGGTCGAAAGACTCAGGTCTGGAAATTAACCAATGCGAAGCAAGAATGTTGACCACTTATTTATTTATTTAGTGTTCTGTCTGACGACAGGTCCATATGAACAGGATCCTTCCATCCTTTTCTCGGACTGGGACGTGTTCATATACGTTCTTGGCAGATGATCCAGAAGTGGTTTGCCATTGCCTTCTTCTGTGTGTGAATGGAGTAATTGTTGGGATGCCACGGAGGAAAACTCCGTGTTGCCTAGACCACGGCCTTGCCCAACACAAGTTATAAATTCGGGCACCGCCGGGAATCGAACCCGAGACCCCAGGATTACAAGGCCAGCGTTCTAAATTAAAGATTGAAAAAAATAGAAAATAGAAATAAAAAATAAGTAAACAAGCAATGAAGTAATAACTAAGTCATAAATATTTTAAGAGCTTGTACGTACGATACTTGCTGCAGTGTGTTTTCTGTTGGGCCGGGCCCTGCACTGCGCCGGTACTTAACAAAGTTAGCGCTACAGTTCCGAGCAATTAGTGCCGTACCTTGCTGCTGTGTGTTAGCTCGTAACCCCCCGGCTTACACTCGTGGGATCTGATGAGGTACAGCAGCTTATACTTCTGCAGGAACTTCTCTGTCACGTCGGGCCCAAAGTAAGTTCCAGCTCCTCGTAATGAGTTCGGAAAACAGCCGTCACCTGGCTGAGGGTCACTCCACAAAATGTCGAAAACCTGAAACATATTGAATTTCCGAAGTAACCCTTCTTCGATACCTTGTGTTCGTAAAATTTTCAATTATTTTAATCCCTCCCCATTTGAAGGGGTTTGAAGCTGTAATTCTCTACAGAAACAGATGAATTTCGGCCATAAAAAGATCTAGCACGGAATTCAAAGCGTTTTACGTCGATGCAGTGAGTGTTGCCTTAATGATAGTCAACCTCCGTTCGGAGAGAGCACCTTAAGAAAAGAAGTGCTTGTTAATATAAGAGTGAGAAGTGTTAATAATTTTTCAGTAACCATCTTCGGAGGCTGTACGTTCATAGGATAGATTTAGGCCTAAACACGGAGAAGGCTTTGAATGCCTGGTTGACAGTGAGCCAACGATTGTAACAAAATTGTGAGTTTATATAGGCTCAAAATCATAGATAGGATTAAGATGGTCCTCTTATAAGTTATTCCAGCCTCAGGTGGGCAAACTGTACAAGCCTTTGATGATGATGGTGATAGATGAGGATGAGGCATTGGTACAATGATGATCGAAAGTAGAAAATCAAAATTAATCGAAGAAAAATATACACTACTTTACCCACAAAATGTCGCGCACTGCTCGTCTTGGGACCGACATAGTTTCATGCGATTTTCCCATCATTGGTCCCAATAGTCTGCTGTCATAAAATTATGCACGCCTTTCTTATTTTCTGCAATAATATTGAATCCCGCCATTGGATCCAATCATGAGCCAGCTTCGTCCACCTCCAACTCTTTCAGCCCACCTCTCTATAAATAATCTCAATCTTATTCTCACATCTTCTTCCCCGTCTTCTAAATTAATATTTTCCAACGTGATTTCCATCAAGATATTGAACGTATTCCTTGTCTCTTCCATCCTAGTCTAATTGCAATTGTGAAGCTCCTCGTTACGTAAGTTTCTCCATTACTGTGTCAATTCATTCCTCCCTGTATACTGTTTTCCTACGACCTCAGTCTGTGCTCTGAAGAATCGATAGAAGTATAAATGTCATCCAGAGTTCATAATTCACCTTCGGTACTCCATTGAAATTTCGCCTCGATCGCTGTGTTACGTCGAGTGGCCACGTGTATGCCTGCAGCATCACAGCGGACTCTTCTGCATTAAAGGGGAACCTCTGTGGTACCGACACCTGCTTCCAGTTTCCTAGACAGAGTAGGTCAGGTCATACATCGTCGAATATGGTGTCCCTAACCCAGCCTATATGGACTTGGAAAAAACATATAATGCATCAGTTAAGAATGCCAGTCTTCGAACCCGGGACTCCTCGAATGAACGACTCTTCGACAGCGACTTTCTGTGTATTTCATATCTGCCTCACATTCAGTGCTCAGCCCGAATTCCAACCTTTCTGAATGGGGTTTATAATTAATTTATTCAGATCGTGCAGTCGAATGTTGGGATAGTACCATCAGCTGTTCCATGAAAGCTTCGTTACACATCATTTCCTGCTTATAAGTCATAATTATTATAACATAAAGTAAATAGGTCAATAATCAATAATTTACTCGTGAATCAAAATTTCGAGATGTGAGGTAATGTAAGGTGTCACGTAACTAGAGACCTCTATAGAAGTTCAACAGCTGCTTTCGATTTCGGCCCTAAATTGAAGCAAGTCTGCTTTCTAGTGTAAAAGTATAGAATCGAAGGTTGATGATCATTAACTGTTAAGGGAGTTCGGGTCTTGTTGGACAATATTTATGAATGGGTTTGCTGTCACAATAGTTGTCATAGTAATGTCGTTAAGTAATTTAGGCTTTATGGAATAATATTTATATTTATAAATGTGTGTGTTGTCATAACACTTTCCACGGTGATGCTGTTAAAGGTTTTGGGCCTTATGAGGTAACATTAACGACTATTTTTTATTACTATCATATTTTAGATGTTTCTCGTCATTCTTGACGGACAAGTTACTAGTTCGAATACAAAGATTTTCGTTAAGATTTTTGTGACAGGTGTGTGAATTCATCTTCGTCCGTCAGAGTGCAGTGTGGTGCTTCGTTGTGACTTTTACTGATAATACTGAAGAAAATTCATACGTAGGTGGGGCTGGTTGTTTGATTGGTTACAGTATGAACACTTCAACAAAACTGCAACTTCATATCGAATTTTTGAGGAGCGCCAGAGAGAGAAGTGGATACCGCTGACAACTCAGCATCCACCCCCACATGTTCAGCGTATTTGTGTGCCGCGAACCATAACAACATAATGCAATTTCTAGATTGAAAGATAAATTCAAAATTAACTCCACAGACAGTTTCCCCTTATATGTATGTTATACTGCGTTAAAAATAAAAAGTATGTAGAACTTCGAACTTATTTGGGTGTTTCTTTATATTGAGGTTTCGAAGAAAGGTAAAAAATGGCTAACAGATGGAAAAAATTTAAGACCTGAGGTACAATGCATCATCTGTTAATAAAGTAAGATCAAGAAAGAGAAAAGGGGTCTTAAACTATTTAAATGATTTTTTATAAAATTTGGTATTGGAAGTCTGACCCAAAGTTTTGGGGAGAAATTTAGTCCATTCGAATTTTGTGAATTTTGTAATAAACTGACGTAGCTTACACAAATTTTCTCATGACAGCTCTCATTAATGCGTTCATAATTAATTGAAACATTTTTCGACGAGATGAATACGTAGGGAAATAAGTTATAAGAAAAATCTACTTCTTACTGTGAGGTGTAATATAATCATCAACTCTTTATTACTCTACCAAATCGAGGATTGAGTATTCCGAGGCCTTTTCGATGTTACGAAACTTAGATTCTTATCTTGCCATCTACTTTTGGGACTTCCCACGTCTCTCTTGTCCTGTAGGATTAGACCTGTGTCTGTAATGTTTTCATCTTTGCAATAAATTTAAAAGCAAACTCAATGACGCATCGAAAATAGCAATGAAAGATTCTGGAAAATATTTGTGGACCAACTTGGAATACATTTTTCCAATATTGTTATATTTGGACGGTTTTTATGTATTGGAAGTCAACAATTAGCACTACAGTGGAATACTCTTCCGTCTATTTGCATATCAATCATCAAACTTCCACATTTCATTTAACGTTATACAACTTTAGCACGTGATAAAATGTCGTAAATTATATGTAAATCGATCAATCGATATGGAACATGAATGATATTTTATTATCTTAATTATAAGAAATTTTAAATAAAAAATTATATTTGTGATCAGACGAATTAAAATAAATAATTGATATAATATTCACAATATGACGCAATTACACTATCTTAAGAGTAAACCAACTCCATATTGCGGGATCACAATATAAAGTTTTATAGTTACTCAGCTAGTCAGTAAGTTCTACGTGGTAATTGAGGTTCTCACGGCGAAAACTATGAAAATTATTGTCTTTCGGGATATTGCGCCGTATAGTCTGGAAGACGTTTATCGACGTTTTGGACGTGTTTACTGCCTCTATCGTCAGACAGACGATGGGAAATTATGATGGAGGCATGTAGTGGTACGCGGCCATCTCCTTTACAGAATAAACTAAACTGAATTCTGAGTAAGCTCACCTGTTTCCACTCTAGCTTGTCGATCAGCTCAGCCCCCGGGGCAGAACTCTCGGTGATCGGTGGTCGCAAAAGAGACACGTACTGAAACAAGAGACGTCACGTCTGATGATGGTAATAGAGACAGGACAGTGAACAGCCGATGTGATATCAGATTATTGGATTGGCGGTGAATTCCAATATACCCGCTGCATCTGAGCGTTCCATGATACGGAGCTCCTACAGAATACAACCGGCTCAGTCCATCTGTTCGTCATACCTACCGATCACGCGACTGTGACGGGCTATACTGAGTATAGATTTTCAAAAATGCCATAGCGGCATATTTTAAGATGGTATTTCAGCATTTGCTTGAGGTACAAATGCGAATCACTAATTTATTCCGGTCTACTAGTTGATTCAGATAACTGCCATCTTCCGAATACAACCCGATTTACAGTTTATAAATCATTTTCACGTCACTGAGTAGCGGTATCAATATAGACTTAAATGTGGGAGGTGCATGATTCGAATCTCGGTCAAATGGCAGTCCCTCATCGGGTTTATTTGCGATTACTACACAGTGGTCTAGCGGTTAGAACGCTGGCCTTGTAATCCTGGGGTCTCGGGTTCGATTCCCGGCGGTGCCCGAATTTATAACTTGTGTTGGGCAAGGCCGTGGTCTAGGCAACACGGAGTTTTCCTCCGGGGGCTTCCCCGGTTTCTCCGTGGCATCCCAACAATTACTCCATGCACACACACCGCCACGGTGGTCTAGCGGTTAGAACGCTGGGCTTGTAATCCTGGGGGCTCGGGTTCGATTCCCGGCGGTGGCCGAATTTATAACTTGTGTTGGGCAAGTCCGTGGTCTAGGCAACACGGAGTTTTCCTCCGGGGGCTTCTTCCCCGGTTTCTCCGTGGCATCCCAACAATTACTCCATTCACACACAGAAGAAGGCAATGGCAAACCACTTCTGGATCATCTGCCAAGAACGTATATGAACAGGTCCCAGTCCGAGAAAAGGATGGAAAGATCCTGTTCATATGGACCTGTCGTCAGACAGAACACTAAATAATAATAATAACATGACTGTAAGAAAATGTCGATTTCGTCAAGTAGTATGAAGTGTTATGAACAGAGCTTACACAGATGTTTCTCTTCGTATTCTGTTATACCGAGAACACCACAAAAGCTTCTCGAACTCTGAACCGATCATTAATAACAGACACATGTCCATTAATTCTAGTGACAAATGCTCACTGCTACAGCCACAAACAGCACAGAACTGAAGTAACTTCTTATGCTACAACATGAACGTGGAACTCTACCCTGACCCGCAAACCGCGGTTATTCATCTGGGAACTTAATCCCAAGTCCAGTGATCAAATTAATTTCCTCCAAACTTCATATTACAAATTGTAGTTCGGATAAAATGACTGTGTAATATTGGGAACGGTTACAACCAACAGAACCAAATTTCATAATGAAGTTAAGTGAACAAAAATTCGAAAATCTTGTTATTACTTAATTGAAAGGCAGGATTTTGCAAAGAAAATGAATAATTGCGCATTTATTTTGTAAGGTTTGGAAATTAGGTTAGGTTACATCACTGACAGAACGTAAATTACACAATTTTTAAACAAGGTATTATGTGAAGTTATGAAGAATGTTTTAATTGGGAATATTAAGTATTGGTTAACGAGGATGTTTGCGATTTATGCAGATCGCCTAATAATGTCTAGGATAGTGAAGTAAAGAAGACTACAGTGGACTGGGCATGTAGCTCGGATGACAGAGACAGAAGATGTTTACAGATTTCAGTGGGTACTTCTATAGGAAGGCCACCACTTGGAAGACTGAGGAGCAGATAGTACGATAGTATCAATGTTAATGTTACGAATATAGATTCTAGGGGTGAGGGTTATGTTACAGCCCGTTGCATTTTAACATAACTTCGTTTCTTTTGACCGCAAAGAAACATCATCGAATGTGAGTCATGCTGGTTTTATGATTGGCTTAAAGTTACAGCTGCCTGTATAAAAAACTTTCACAGTTACTATTTCTCAAATATATTTCGCGCGTTACAAGTCTTTTAGAAGGTTTGGAATTCTTCTTAGTACATTTAGGAACTTTTTGTACTGACTAAATAACGTAAAGGCGTAATGGGGAAGCATATTTTATCTCTGAAACTAATAATCGGATATCGATTCAGTCTGGTATTGGAAGTCTACTCTGAAGTTCTCTGAGGGATTTAATATAGTACATACAGGTTGAATATAGTAATAATATATACTTTATATGAAAATCAAATTTAACTTTATATTTTCTAAGTGGCTTTCCGCAAAAAAAAAATAACAAAGGATGAGATAAGTTTTACTGTTTTAATTTAAAAACATTTATGTGGTTAATATTTAAAGAAACACAGGGTAAAATAACTATTGTACCGAGATGAGTATTTTAATGATATATTTGTATCTGGAATAGCTAAATAATAAGGCTATCAGGGTATCCAGAATTCCAAATAACGCGTTTAGAAGTGTCTGAATTTTAAAAAGTTACAGAATTATCATCATAATTTTTAAGCTATAAAAATTCAGAAGCACAGTAGAGTGAAAACAGATAATGCCCCAGCATTACCGACACTTTTATATGAGACTGAAAAGTGAACAATGAAACAAGAAGATAACACCAGAATTATAGCCGCAAAATGAAATTAATGACAATAGCAAAATACACTTGGATGGGTTGAAAATAAACGAACTAAAGGCATAACCTAAACATATCGAACAACTCTTTCAATTACAAAAACAAGTGTATTCGACATTTTGGATGAATCCAAAGAGACTTCCCATACTATTAAAATTACAAACGTTATGGATTAAATAGCTGAGGACGATCTTTAAAAAGATCTTGTACGACTTAATAAATGACCTAACTGTTGACTGCTAGATCACGGTTATGATATGGTCTTCTGTAGGTATTCATTGAATATTAATATTGTTTTTGTTTTGTTTAGAGATTTTAATAGTCGTTAAATAATTTGTTCTGTACAGTTCCCCCAAGACTAGGCCATGTCTCTTTTGCCTACATATTGCAGAAAAACCGATCAAAATTTTGACTTGAACATAAATACACATTCTAATGATTTTTTTTAAAGACCGTATCCTTAATCCTTTATGTACAAAGTTTTAAATTCCTGAAAGCACGGTTATTTACGTTTACGGTTTCCATGGTAACTTTTCAATTTCCATCGAAACGCTAAAATTTATTTTAATTAACAAAGTTAAAACGGTTGAAGTACGTTTTTCAACAAATGATTCCGAACACATGTGGTTGGTCTACCTGAGATGTGATATGTCTTTCACAACATCGAAAATGTGAACAATATTTTATTGTTAGAAATAGGTCTATGTAATGTTCACTTTTGAGGTTACCATTGTAAAATACGTAATTCGTTGTAAGGCTGGCCTACACATGTCCAAAATAATTTAGCCGTTTATTGTTGAGACCCCGCAAGGCGTGCGCGTATCTTACCTTGTGTCTGTCCAAATTTCGCACCCAGTCCAGATCAGTGACATCAGAAATGCCTCCGTGTACCACAAGAACCTTGTTGTTGACTACTGTGCCCAGGGGAAGCCATCGATACACCCGTTCGATCAGTCGAAGAAGACGTTCGGCATTGTGCTGAAAACAGTTTCCAGTCATCTTTCCTTCTTCTCAATTTACCAAAGAGATTGACCCTTTAAGGTCCAGTGGTAACTATATGTACCACCTACTTCACACAGTTAATAACTCTGCGTTTTGTATGTTTGGAGGCTGGGCGAACTTGTAAGTAATATGGAAATGTTCATTCCATATAATCGTAAACATACCTACATACAAATGTACAAGAGGATCTATATTTTTACGTGTTTAAGGAAAAAAAACATTGTAGCTGTTACAATATATGGGTCTTCCGTTGGACGTTATGCACAGTAGCATATTGGCTACTAAAGTTCAATTATTGATTTATGGTTTTCACTAACCTCGCCTTTTATAGCATTTGAATTAAAGCAGACGACGTAAATTCTTCCACGAATTTCTTGTTGTTCATGGAACGAACATGGAAACAAAGTTCAAGCACCCTTCTGGCAACTCGTGTCAAGGTATGTAAATTACTGAACGTTACGGTCGGCTTGCTTCTTAAGCGTGCTCACAGTCAAGTGACGAGGCAGTTCTTATCCTAAGCAGTTTCAAATCAGGGAGCCAACAAGGCAGTAAATTAATGTGTTGGGACTCGAATTTCGTTTCAGCTAACAGACTGCTGGAGCGGTAACAGTCTAGACTTGTACTTGTGAGGTACCCAGTTCGAATCTCCGCATTTGGTTACAGAGAGTTTTTGTGAGTGTCCTTTGCTTTTTCAACCGAATTCCGGAAAGCACCTCGAGACAAGTCACGTCCGTCTCCTTTTAAATTCCTACCTGCTCCTCATTCATAATGATCTCATTTCATACGATGCCAAGACAACTTCTGAAGCTGATAAATTAAGAATCAGTGGACCAAGTTTTCGTGAGCATCTTACCGAAGGATAATGCTGTTTGATCAGGAAGTGAAGTAGGTGGACTATAGCTAAGATTTTTTACATTGAAAACGGGAGAACTGAGTTCAGACGTAAATTAAATAGTGTTCAAAAATGGCATTTGAGAAAAAGAAGGTTTATATACTGAGGAAAAGCAGAAAATAGTTCTAGAAAGATCAGTTGAATGTTGGTTGCTGTTCAGCTGACATGTGTCCTTCTTGTTTTAATGAATCTGCAAAGACCCAGCCTTCGGATTCAGCAACATTCCACATTAAGTTCTCCTGATTTCACCACAGAGGAATCCACAACTACGAATTGTAGCATTCGAGCAATCCTTCCTAATGGAGAAATAGTACAAACTACTCGGATTCCCAGCTGACCCCTAACTCCTCTCTACGAACCCAGAATCGAAACTTTCATCAAATAAATCAGCGGTGACCCAACTGGTGGTGCGCAGCACACCTCCGACCAGAGACGTGAATTTATCCTCACAAGAGAACCTGTGAAGAGCACCAGCTTCGATTGACATAAAAATTAATTTTTCTTGATAGTAAGATAATATGCTATTAAAATTAATCCTGCGGGAATATATTGTGTTGCAGTTAATCTAATCGAAGAGTAAACTCACACGAATAAAACCATGCACGTTATTACGTTTTTACAATCGGTAAAAGTGTTGTAATTAAGGGGATATATTTGGGAGCCATAGCAACTACCAGGTGGACAGGACGGACGGTGGGTGGGGTGGATATATCTAAAATGAAGAAAGAAAAATGGAGACCCAATGTTACAACAACCTGGACGGTAATTTACTTTCTTGGTGACGTGATTTCATTTTTTGGAATCATTCATTGCGTAGCTCGTATATCAAAATATGGATATTAATTCTATTTTAAAATGTCTCAAAGTCAGACTGTGTTAATGTAATGTTAATAAGACCGCGAATTATAATACATATTTTCAATTACTTATAATTATTTAATCGATTAATTAATTTCCAACGGCATCGATACATATCGTTCACAACGATCGTATAGGAAATAGGAAAATGCCCCTAGAATGAAAACACGACGCCGTCCCTAATATAGGGTAAACAATTGAAGTCCTACAGGTCAGTAATTGCATTTATGAATGGGTTACTTAATGGGGAGTAGAGTAACTCTCCTATCACTGCTTGACACTTTTAAAATGCTAATAATTGACACAGACGTGAACTCACCTTGTACTTGGACTTCACTTCCCGGATAAAGCCGTATCTGAAAACAGGAATCACTGTTCAGAAAACAACAGCAGCGAATTACTCAACAAAAATGTGAATATTCAGCATGAGTTGAAATACGTAGTCTTTGAAGTAAGTACAGCTCGGTTGCCTGTCTCTGTCTGTAAAACTGAGAAGTAAATGGGTCCTCGATCCTTCTTGGTGCTGTTATAGTTCCTGATTTCTCAGTGTTCTAAACACGCAGTTTAAAAGTAATACACGTCGAAACTTCTGAAAAGGTTCTGCAGAACGTTTTATGTATTTTTAAGCCGTGTCGCAATCCAAGATATTTAATTAAAAGTTTCATTTCGTTTTCTTTGGCCTGAAAATGAAATGAGTATTTTCATTTCGTCTGTTATTTAGGCCTACAACAGATGAATTCTGGTGGATTGTGGTTTTAGGAAAATAAATTGCTAAAAAACTAAGTCCCTCTCGGTAACAGTAAAAGTATTTAATATAAAGTAGTTATATTATTTTCTTTTTCATAGCATGATTTAAAATGAAAATTATAAACATTCTACGCGAAACAGATGTATTGATTTGTTGTTGTTATTATTATTATTATTTATTATTATTATCGCAATCCCTTTTCCCAGCATAACATCGATTAGTTCTGAAGCCAACGTTAATGAATATTAGTTATATCTAATCGGCTTCAGCAATAGTACTCACGAAACAGCCAGCGGCACTTGAGAGCCAGTCGAGTGCCTGAAGTGTACCTGGCATTCATGATGTGGTCCTCGTGATTTCCGCGGTTGAGGAACACGCCGCCAGGAAACACCAGAAGGCAGGACAGTAGAAGCAGCAACACTTCTAGACCTTTCTTTCCCCGGTCCACAAAGTCACCGTTGAACACATATGGGTTCTCCGTGGACGGTAGACCATTCTTGAACAGATCATGTACACAGCAGCGCATTGTAATTGCCTCTTTCTTAGAAATTTCTATGCTAGATACGAGGCGTCTAACTTACAACACTGGATGTATGTCGTGAAAGAGAAACGTGGAAGAAACACTTCATTCGGTAAGATTTTACGTTCTTGTGGCTGCGGCTATGAAGTTGGGCTGTTCATAGCGTAAATATAAAGTTGGTTGTCTTCTGGGCTGTTCACAGCGTAATCTGATACAAGTTTACTGACATTTCAGAAATGTTTGCTGCCTCCTTCATCAGGGCGATAGCTCTGACTACACGCAGAAACATTCCAGAAGACGGTCAGTTTATTTATGTCTTGTTTTGTAAACGCAGTGCCACATTTTACGTTTAAAAATGTGTCGCGTGAAAAGTAAAGTGTATGTAGGCCTACGTACGTTACACAGTAATAAATCTAGGAAGTAAATACGGGATATTGGCACGGGCAGTAGACTATTACGACAGATTAAATTTGTCACCTTGTGAAATATAACCAGCAGATCGTCAAACTTCCCGTGTAGATCACCACAGATCGTGATTTGCTTTGATATGGCTGTTGAGGCCTGGTTAAGATTTGGTAACCTCTTAAGTTGAACAATCGCCTCCTTCAGGATCCCCGCTACGTATTTTGCATGAAGACATGGTTGCTATATGGAAATAAAGGAAATTCTTCAGTGCTTTCTAGATCTTCAAGTCATTAGACCACACGACTTATATATTAAGCTCGTTTATGATGGGTTTATTATATATTAATAATGATGACAAATAATTATAACATATATCGGTTTGGCTTACCCTCTTTTTCCTAAAAGTGTCAATCAGTGCGTCTAAATCTGCTCTGGTAAGGGGAAAACTTATATGAATGCCCTTGTACCCTCCATCGGCCGACTGTAGGCTACCGTCTTCAGATTCGTCTTCGTACTTCTGGTCCACGGTATCTGAAATATAATAGCACTCTTCGTTTCGTTGCATTGGCAATCCTGGATGCGTTCTGCATATGAATTGGGTTAGAATAAGGTACATTAAAGTTATCGTGCTTTAAATCCGTTCGCATATTTCATCTCCTACACTTACCATCTGCATGGAACAAGGTCCTTGAGGAGACAAGAAATTCCCTGAGTTTTATTAAACCCGAAGGTTCATTACTGTGTTTACAGGATCCCGATATTTGACAATATAATGGGCCAGATGAATTCAGTCTACTCAGTAAGTCCCATTTTAATATTATCCTCCTGTCTACGCCTTGGTCTCTGAAGTTGTCTATTCCAATTAAAATTCTGTCTATGGCCAACTCATCCCAATCTCCTTTATTTGACTAACCAAATATTTGATGAAGGCTCAGTTTATGAAGCTCCCTATTATGCATTTTATATTTTTACTCAAATAACTTCTGTCCGTGATCTTCTTTCCTTCGTAAATGTTGTATTGATTTTTACTGTCGTTCTCGAATAACTTAGGCCTATTTGAACTTTCATACACTTTTGAAGGACTGAGTAGATTTTTTTATTATTTTTCAGAAAGACTAGTCGCATAAAATATGTATACAGAATTTCGAATAGAAATATGATCAGAATTAAACTTTCGCTCCAACCTCCCAAATCCAAAAAAATAAGGCAAGAAATTCGTGACTCTGGGCGATTCTCAGGTTCTCTGTTCTATGGGTTCAGTTATTCGAAAACATTTTTTTTTTTTACACAGGTTGCAATGTTTACATAGTCGACAGTGCAGTGAATAAGGAGTAAGTAGACTTAATCCTACTGAAGTTTGACAAAAGATGTAAAGAACGAACTAGCACTTGTCACTGAAACTAGGCTAAGAGCTTTATACGTGGCGTCAATTATGACGATAACTAAATGCTTAGATTATTAATTATCTCATAAGTGTACTTTTGCGAACCGCTTCCGGCACTTAGGTCGTAGTTTGCAACCCTTGCCTTTGAGACATGTTCACAATCTGCACAACTTGGCGTAATATATTCATACACTGGTTAGTCTATTATAGGCCTACAAGCCATAGTTCAGTCTGAGGGAAGTTACAGCACTGGTTTTTTCTACTTTCGCGTGGAGTCTTGTTCATGAAGAATTATTTCCGAGAATAATAATTACAGCTTCACCCGAAGGCTGTATGAATAGGAAATACACATGTTTTATAAATAATTTTTTTAGCTTTGTTTGTTTTGTCAGTCTTGCACTTAAATTTTGTGATAGAAATGAGCGTTTAATTTCGTAACGTAAAGAAACATACAAGTTTATTCTAACTTTTCATAACACACTTTTAGAAAGAAAGCACGAGAGAGAAGAAAAATGCGCACACAAGTTCAGTTTCATACCCTCAATGAAAAATAAACATTTGGTAGACCTTGGCATAGATATGAGCATAATATTAAAGTGGAGTTTATAGAAGCAGTGTGTATGGGCGTGGAATCCTGAGGCGGAATTTTATAAACGTGGCAATTAAATTATCTCAGAACAGCACGGAAAATTTTTACCAGCTACGTGACTACGGAAGGGCCCTGAATTACTACTTAATCAGTCATCTAGATCAGCGTTTCTCAACCTATGGTACGCGAGCCAATGTTGAGTGATACGCGAACTAAGTAATAAAATCAAAAGATAATATTAACATTAATAAGTTTTCCTTAAACGCATTTGATTAGTGGTATATTTAATGTGTTAAATTAGAGCGAAAAAGGGTGAGAACCCCTTATCTACATGATGGGTTGCTGTCGCATGATGACACAGCAGTTCATACAGATAACCGATGATAATGTAAGCGTGTGGAGTCTTACCTATGGACGAAGATTTAGACGAAATTTCTGATCCGGGTTTTTTGGCAGTGGCATCCGGCATGTGTGTCAGTAGAGCGTTGAAGAAGTTATACAGCTGCCAACATACAACACGTTAAGCATTGTGAATAAACATACAGGGTGCTCCAAAATGCTGCCAACATACAACACGTTAAGCATTGCGAATAAACATACAGGGTGCTCCAAAATATGTATACATAAATTGGATAAATGAAACAAAGACATTGTAATAAACTAACACATGCGTCAGCATTGGCACTTAGCGAATCTGTCGTAGGTCTTCGGAATGACAACCACCTATGTCTTCCTTAAACGGAACACACGGAGATCGGTAAGAAGATTAATATTCCCTATTATAATGTATATACGTCTTTTTGAGACGTTCTGTATACAATGTGATGTTAATATGAATGTGGCTGGTCAGCCATTTCGAAACGAACTTTAAAGACTAATGTATTTGATGCAAGGGATGACGGATCCTGTTTAGTAAATCACAGGACAGGATACATGAACATAATTACAGTATTTCTTCGGTTATATAACCACTGGGCATGGTCAGAAACCTTCAGACTTCGACTATAGGTCTGCCTCTCGTCCGACACGAAGTGACTTCTGACATAAAACAGAGCTGAAAGCAAGCAGCAGTAGTCACCAGTTACCTTGAGTTGGTCCTGCTCTCCGGCGTACTCTATGCTCTGGAATATCGTCCACGTGTATCTTCTGCGAACCTCCATGCGTGCGAGATACCGTCGATACCACCGCTGAATCAAGATGGCTGCTTTCATTGCTGCAAGAATAAAAGAAATAAGTCTCACCCGGTAAGAATTCAGGTTCTTACAGTGACGAGCATGAACATGGCTGTCTTCTGGGATGTTGCGTCGAGGACTCTCGCAAATACAACGACCAACGTTTCAGAGGTGTTTACTGACTCAGTCATCAGGCCGATTATGAGTCTTCGCCCTGATGAAGGAGGCTGAAATCTCTGAAACGCCGGCAAACTTTACTTTGACGCAGAAACCCAGAAGACCTTAACAGGTTTTAAATCTTAATTGTTCAGTTGTTAATTTCTCTGTTTATTATTGTCAAGTCAGTTTTCCTTGTTTCAACAATCACGTAAGACCGATAGCTTTGTGTACAGTGGCCATCTTGAACAGCTGTGCCACGTGGTATATAATCGATATATCTACTTCAATTGTTACGGAGAAGATAGAGGCGTAGAAACGCAATAAAAGCGCATTTCTAAGGCTGCAGCTGAGTTCGAGGAAAATTTATGAGCATTACAAACGAAACAGAAAAGCACTTTCATATTTCATTTGCTGTTCTCTTGCATCAAAATTCAAATCAATAAAACATCTGAAGTTAACACCGCTCAACATTCCATTGTGCCCTATCATCTTTGAATCGTCGCTGATTTGAATGTCACAACCCACGGCGTTATTGAAATTCGCGACAAAGAGGGGATAACTGAATGGGCAACCGAACGAAGATTTTCTTTTCCATCGGTTAAACTTTCTGTTTGCGAAGTTGACATGAAAATGTCACATTGATTTTTTTTTTTTGAAGTTTTACTTTAATTCCATGAAGCCCTGAACAGCTGTAATTAAAACTCTTTGCACACGTTAATCCTTTACCGTCAGAGCTCAGCGTGTCTGCCTGCTACGGCACTGAAGACAATGATTTGTGGCAAACAAGTTGGCTGGATAGTTTGAAGCACACGTCGCCGTGGCACTAGGTACCCTCGAGTTGCGTTTCGCTGGTCATTAGTGATTACTGGTTATTGATACGATAGTATTATGACGTACTCTACGACCAGTCCCTCCTGGGTTACTACATGTCACTGGACGATAAGTAAACTCTAAAACTACAAATTTTGAAACTTCTTATTGTGCCGATTACAGCCTCCTATCAATTTTTCTCGGATCCAAGTACTCGTATTTTCTTCAGTGCCCTTGGTCTCAATTACCCTCAATTTATTTGTCTCTCAGTGTGAGAGACAAATTTTCACCGACTCTGTAATTCCAACAAATATAACGTAACATTGTTTGATTACGTCATTTTTTGATAGACGACAAATCACGAATTTCTGTAGTAGATAGATACTTTAAATAATTACCTTAATACACAATTCATTGTTGTTAAACTGACGGAATATTCGACTTGAATATGTATCTTTCCCGTGAATTTCTAACCATTAGGGAATGTAATGCTGCAAGCTGCAGGTACATTTGCTGCAGTTAAGATGGAGGCCTGCCTGAGGAGACATCTTTCGTCTCGGATATCTGTTGCGGAAACCAAGCGTCGAATGACAATAGGTCGCTATTTAATCACAGTAGAACGATCAGACGACTGGCTCCCTTATCAAAGTATGGCGTTCTGCGAAGAGCTGGGATTCTCGAAGGGAAATCAGAAGCAGCAATCTCTCAGTACCGATTCAGCGGCATCAAGACTTGTCTTTGCTAACTGTATCAAGTATTCTGTGTGTACAAGTTAACCATTCTGAGTGTGGAACCTACTTTCTAAACAGTAATATCAAATCTTCGCCTTTCATTATCAACTTTATGTTCAGAAATAAATATATGCATATCATTTCATTGATAATAAAGCAGTGTGTCTCTCAAGACTCAGTCCTGCTTGCCTGGGCTTCCAACACTCGGTGCTGTCATTGTGATTTCTAGGGGTCCGAAAAGTTTCTTTTGTGATTTTGAAACCCCTTTTTATAAAGACAAGTAGTCAATGAAATTTCCATTAAAATATCAGGGGTAACTTGGAGCACGTATAATATTAGCACCCCAGACGTTCTCTTAAAGTCATTCACGGCAAATAATCATGGCGTTTATTCTAAAAAAAATACTGCATTACCTCGATTTTAAGACTTTTTTTTAACATTTTAAACATTTCTGAAATCGGGGTGCGTCTTGCATTTGATGGCGTCTAAGAATCGATATAGGTTTTTTCCCCCCTCAAACCCTATTACTAAATCAATAGTCGATACAGTCGATAGCGTCTTAAAATGTAGGAAATACCGTAAATCAATAGCATAAATTTTTGGGATTTATGCAGAGTTGTTGATCGCTCAAGCAAGTTTTAAGTATAGTTACCGCTGCCCTATAAATGTGTAAATAATCGTGGGTTTCCTTGGCAGGTTTTTCCTCCGCAGTCTGGAAACTGTCCCGCAAACATTGTTTTGAAAACACGATGTAATAAAACGCCTATTTAGCGTGTGCCACATTTTGTTAAACTAGTGATGACAGTGAATGTCAGAAATCTCATAAAGACGTAGACAGTGACAAGCAGAAGGAGGCTCGATCGACCTCAGCCTCTGAAGACGGGAGTACGGGGAACCACCCAACCCTAGACCGGCAGTTCGCAGTAGAATTCGCCCGTCTCTGCACGCTACAGCTAGAATCCTAGAACTCGACATTTCAACAGCTCAATTGAGAGACCTGGGTTCTATCACTTCCTCGTCTCACAGAAGCTGTTGGGCGTATGAAGGCGGTGCCGTTGTGAGGGTGTGTGTAATTACAGACTTAATAACATCTGTATCGTACACGTATCGATTAAACCCCGGGTCGGGAATGGTGGTTGGAGAGAACTTGCGCAGAATTTTAAATAGAGACAAGTGTCTAAGAGCAGAGAACTGAGCTGGACCAAACAGATAGGAAGAAACAAAAGTATCGAAAATTACAAAATGAGAAGCTTCGCTGTTATTATTTAGGAGATCGCTTCAAGTAGAATGAAATGAGCGGGACATGTAGCACGCAGGAAATTAGGAATACGTAAAGAATTTTTGGTTGGAAGTTTCAAACTGATCATTTTTAAGACTTTCATAATTAAATAGGAGCCGTATTGATTTATTACACAAGCAAATATGTTCAAACTAAAGTATTATATTATTATTTCGTAACTGCGCTATTAAACTATGAATTTTATATAATATTATGAACTGAAAATAACCACCTTTTATAATGGTGGGTTTTATGGAAGAAATCTCTTTCCATTTACGATTTCACGCACTACGTTGTCGTGTCTTTCAAAAATTCAGTTCCAGTGCCGAACAGAGTGCAAGTCCACTAATATGCACTGCAAACAAATCCACTCACGCCATTGCTGAAATCCGAGATACTTTCACCGCACGCCATTGCTGAAATCCGAGATACTTCCACCATATACAGAATAAAATCAAACGCTAACACCACTGAAATTCTTCGGTTCTTGGACACAGAATTCAGATTCTTCACACGCTGTATTTGCAGAGTGTGGCACGTGTTAAAGCCCACTTTACGTAATGGCCCTGCAATATGTGCCGAGAGGTGCAGCTGAGGCGTACCCATAAAAGCTGAGAAAGAAGTGTAAGATTCCTGTCTTTCTCTGTGGATAAACATGTGTCTGATTTTCTTCATAGATGTGTTACGTATTGTGAAACTTAATGGAACTAGGAAGTTGTTTAGACAAATTAGAATTCTATGCCTATTATATTCTATTCGACTCACAAATGTTAACACAACTCGCTTATTCAGATTGACAGTGGTTCGGACACCTTCAGACGAATCCCCGTGAAGTTACATAGGTTCTCGGCTGGTATCAGGTATGTAGCCTGGGTATTGCAGATGGGCTGAACGGGAATCGAAGCATCGATGTGTCGGCAAAGAAAAGTGGGGACGGTATGGATGTCCTCTGCCATGAAGAATATGAGACTTATTCTCTCGTGATTTTCAGTGTCTAAGAATGTTCATCACAATAGTCTGACCGGAAAAATTCTTAATTATCCGTACTTTGAAACCTGTTTGAATCTACGAACTTACTTTGGACAAATACTCGAATGCATTATTTATAAATAAGTGACCGAATGCTTCGTATTTGGGAGGTCCCGGGTAAAATATCGGATCGGAAACTGGTTTGTGGTTTTCCTCAGTGCCTGCAGTAGGTTCTGGAATTGTCCCTTAAATTAGACCACTACCATTTACTTCCAATTCCTTGTTCAGTAGCCGTCTTATCTACCAACAGCGTCGTTCAGTGAACCACGAACAGACCTAAATACAAGGAAGTGACCACACATTATCTACTCAGAGCATCATTGGTATATTTCTGTCCGTTCAGAACATTGGTGCCCAGGAAGACGCACACAGAGGGCAGAAAACGCTAAAGGGATTCTGACGGGAGACAGCACAAAGGAGACGAGCGGACAGTTAATCCGAGAATCCTGTGGGATCCAGACTGTTATTAATACAGTAGCAGTCACATGCATGCAACCCACATGATTGTAGGATTTTAGGCTTTCGCGGCGTTGAGTCTGAAGATTGCTGTCTTCTGGGTTGTTGCGCGCGTGTAGTCTGGTAGATGTCCACATGACGATGAGAAAAAGTTGTAAATTCAGGAGCAAGGTCGTAACAGCTTCTTCACAGAGATGAAAATGATTGGTTTGCACGAGACTTAATAGGCAGGACAGAGGACCGATAGTCTTTTATCCTTCGTGCTGAGAAACTACAAATGTAAATTACTGAACAGTAAGATCGGGTGACTGAAGAAGATAATAATTAGTCTCTTCCCTCAGTAGGTAATCTACTGTTTTGAGAGATTACGTGAAAGGCGTAGGCGTTAATTAACTACCATTACACTTCCTGATTATGAATAAGTAATTGGAGCAAGAAACGAGGGTGGTCCCCTTCCATTATGAAGCTACTTGATGAAGCCCCGAGGACTGACCCCGGAAATAGCCTGAAATGGCTACCCTAACCCTACATTCTGCTGCTGGCGCTGTACAAAGCAGAGTGGCTCTTTGAGCTAGGCGAAGAGAAATTCTACCTCAGAAGTAAATTAAAATATCATTGATTTGTTGTTAGGAATTTTAAGGATTTGTATTCGCTTTCTGCATCCATTTATGCTTTTAAATCGTAATTAATCTGTCGGTGTACGAATCCACAAAATTTAAGCCACTTAATTTAATACGTAACTGAAGTATCAGCCACTCTGAAATGTATGGCCGTGGCGTAGAACTGTGTTAGTTGACATTATTATCTGAGTTAAGGTAATGGAACTTGAAGTGGCCAGTTCTAAATTATTGTAATGTAGTGCGCGCGGAATGTATAAATTGGAATCAACCAGCCACTTTGATTTTGTAACAGTAAAAAAAAAAAAAATTAGGACGTTATATCAACGGAAAAAAGTTCATACATTATTATTTCATATCAGTTCACTAAAAGCGCCATCAATTTGATTATATTTTTTTTAGATTAAACTTCAAATTATATCGAAAATGTTTTATCCTATGTCTATATATTCTGGATTTTTAACACATTTAAATGTAATTTGTTTATCAGAATTTTTAATAGTTATTGCATCTAATAAATATTGAAGTAATTTAAATTAATGGAGCAGAAGCCTTGTTGATAAGTTATTAGTCGCTATCAAGACTATTATAGAGCCGAAGGTTCATTATCGTGTTAGAAGAAGTTCGCCACTGTACCACGTCTTAAGTCGCATGCATCCAGTCCGCAGCCTCACACCCTATTACGTTAAGATACTTTTTATACTATCGTCCCATTTATGTCTAGATCTACCGAATAGATTATCTCCTTTTGGTTTTGAATGCAGTTTATAAAATTAATTTTGTTACTTATAAATAAGGTTTTACACAAAATCCAAATATTTCGGATTATCTTTGCGACGTAACATACTGATATAATTTCTAGTCCTAGCTGACATCGATGGCATTATGATACAAGGGCCTAAACGAGGGTGGTCCCCTTCCATTATGAAGCTACTTGATGAAGCCCCGAGGACTGACCCCGGAAATAGCCTGAAATGGCTACCCTAACCCTACATTCTGCTGCTGGCGCTGTACAAAGCAGAGTGGCTCTTTGAGCTAGGCGAAGAGAAATTCTACCTCAGAAGTAAATTAAAATATCATTGATTTGTTGTTAGGAATTTTAAGGATTTGTATTCGCTTTCTGCATCCATTTATGCTTTTAAATCGTAATTAATCTGTCGGTGTACGAATCCACAAAATTTAAGCCACTTAATTTAATACGTAACTGAAGTATCAGCCACTCTGAAATGTATGGCCGTGGCGTAGAACTGTGTTAGTTGACATTATTATCTGAGTTAAGGTAATGGAACTTGAAGTGGCCAGTTCTAAATTATTGTAATGTAGTGCGCGCGGAATGTATAAATTGGAATCAACCAGCCACTTTGATTTTGTAACAGTAAAAAAAAAAAAAATTAGGACGTTATATCAACGGAAAAAAGTTCATACATTATTATTTCATATCAGTTCACTAAAAGCGCCATCAATTTGATTATATTTTTTTTAGATTAAACTTCAAATTATATCGAAAATGTTTTATCCTATGTCTATATATTCTGGATTTTTAACACATTTAAATGTAATTTGTTTATCAGAATTTTTAATAGTTATTGCATCTAATAAATATTGAAGTAATTTAAATTAATGGAGCAGAAGCCTTGTTGATAAGTTATTAGTCGCTATCAAGACTATTATAGAGCCGAAGGTTCATTATCGTGTTAGAAGAAGTTCGCCACTGTACCACGTCTTAAGTCGCATGCATCCAGTCCGCAGCCTCACACCCTATTACGTTAAGATACTTTTTATACTATCGTCCCATTTATGTCTAGATCTACCGAATAGATTATCTCCTTTTGGTTTTGAATGCAGTTTATAAAATTAATTTTGTTACTTATAAATAAGGTTTTACACAAAATCCAAATATTTCGGATTATCTTTGCGACGTAACATACTGATATAATTTCTAGTCCTAGCTGACATCGATGGCATTATGATACAAGGGCCTATCAGCATATTTGCATAATCGGAGATATTCGGTCTAATAATATAAAATGGTGGGATGTATATCATGCCAGAAGGTCGTAATGCTGACTGCCCTCTACACAGAACACAGGTATCAAGAGTAACAACGTACATTTGTCAAATAAAATGAGCGTAAGAATGCAGTCTCCTGAAAAATAAGTAATTTTGTTGATATACGCCCTTCTGGCACGACGATCTCAATACTTTCTTTGTGTTTGTTATTGATGTTGAAATCCCATCTTAAAGAACAGAAAGACCTACCATGATTCCCCTATAGACATCCAGAATTCTTATTCTTATTCTGTCTCTCAGGGTAAACATACATTCCTGTTCCGATTTCATTCCAAAGTTTACAAAATCTTCAAATATACTATATTCCTCCTCATACACTGTAATTCAGGATGGATTTTGACGTCTTCTGAAATTCTGTGTAGAAATGTCCTGTCCAGTTCTGTCTGTTTGAACGTCTGGTCTCTTGCGGGGCTTCTGTAATATCAACATTTATCATCTTGTCCAAATGGACACATCATTTGACACCTTTCATTTAAGTGAACTGTATCCTACTTTATTATCCTTTGTTAAAACCTCAAGTTTCCTTACAATAGAATACAGTAGGAAGTTCCTGAACAAAATGAAATCCAATTTGTTTTTCTTCTTCCTGTGCGTTACAAAATTATTTTAACAGTTCCATGCGTCATCTGAAGACCTTATGGCTGCATTTCTATCGCTTGGTCCTATTTTTACAGTTTGTTGTAATTTTAACAGACTGTATTTGAGCGTGGTACTAGGAGGTCGAATAGAAGTAACTGTTCCTTTTTGGGGCACAAACGAAATTCTTCCAGAAACTATACCTTGCCAGCTTAATCCACATGTTGTCATCACTCTGATGTATTAAATTAAGAGTACAAAATTACTAATTACTTCTTAGTTTTCTTTTCTTTTGCAGAATTTTCTCTCATCATCATTTTTGGAGCCATAAACCAAATTTAAGCCTTGTACAAAAGAGGTAAATGTATTATTTTATGTCATAATATTAATTTATAATCGGTCTAAAAATGTTTTATGTCGTCGGATACGAACCTGTTTGCAAAATCAGTTAGTGGATCAGACCATTGAACTTTTTCTTATGAGTGCCATTGTATTACAAATTCTTTTGAATCTACATAAATAGTTTGTTAGTTTTCCTTGTGCATCTATTGCCAGAGGATGATATAATTGTGATAGTTTTTTTTTCAAAATTCTTATGAGGAAGTACAAAAGTAAAATTTGTTAATCTGTCGGTGACTGTAGTCTTTACAAGCCCCGATTACGCCATACTGTGAAATACGCGTTGTCATCAACTGTGTCCTTGGGGGCTGAAGGGCTGTCATAACAGAAATCAGCTGAAACCCCGTCCTTATTTCTTTGATGAAATTTTAATTAATTCTCACGGCATGACTTAGGTACGTTATTTGAATGCAACAAACATCACTCTCACAGTGTGATACTTCTTGTGAGGGACAGAAAGGAAGAAAGATTTTCCACGAATTAACAAGTGACAAAGGTAAATGAAGGCTGATAGTTCGCTACAAAGATTTTGTTTAAACGCCAAGAATTTTCTATTAAATAAGAATTCTTGGAAGGTCACAAGTTATGAAACAAGATTCAGGTGTATTCGTAACTATAACTAAACCATAAATACTGAATGAAGTTTTAAAGTTAGTGAAGTATCAAAATTTAATATTTTTTTACCGTATGCATCAATCAATTATAAGAATATTTGTAGGCATATATGTAATGTAGTTTTCACAAAATTCCACACACACGTGCCCACAAGTCTCCATGTTTTCTTATTTTATACATAAAAACTGATCTGTAGATTATTACTTTTCATTCATAGTGAAATTATTGAAAAATATTCTTATTTTTCAGATATAAAAACCTCCGAAATTACATATATACTGTGTAGTTCTTAATCCCAACAGACCGGACGCCATGTTAGTATTAACCCATTGATAGTCGAGATAAGAACAAGATATACTAATAGGCCTGTATCAGAGGAATCTGAAATTGCAATAATTAATAGTCGTCTTTATCTTCAGGTTCGAAGATGGCGGCAGCCAAGGTCAAGAAGACCACGATCTAAAATCTCAACACCGTAAAACTCTGACGAAAATTTCGAATTCTGAACTTACTTCTCTCCACTTTGGGCATGCTGAACTCCGTCTTCTTGCCACCCTTGCAGCTCCTGAACAGGTTCCTGGGCGAGAACTTGGAGAAGAAACCCTTCCTCGTCTTCTCGACGACAGTGACCTCGCCATCTCTCTCGTGATATACGAGACGCTTTCGCTTCTCGTTATCCTCCATCTCCAGTCACAGCTAGAGCACAAATAAGATTAATTAAATAAATTAATGAATTAACATAAAGATAGCAGAAAAGGTGACAGAGCGGAGAAGAGTAATTTTTTTCCATTTCTCGTCAAGGTTTGCTCTACGAGCGGGAGTCTGTGCTTCGTTTCCAGGGAACAGATGGCCACACCGTGCCGTACTGTTCGTTGTGCCCATTATTAAATTACCCGGCAGACAGTGCGTCACTCTGCGCGGACAAAGAGAGCTCTGTCAAGTGGATCCGACACCAGACTCTATCGACTCTGGACACTGGTCCACGGCGGCGTGCCGTGTGAAATAACGCCGAAATTGCGTTCAGGACGTCGGTGTCCCAGAGACGGTGAAGTATGGAAGCCTGCCATGCAAGGCGAACTTTTCAAATCTTTCGAAAAGTGCGTCACTCTGCGCGGACAAAGAGAACTCTTCCAAGCGAATCCGACACCAGACTCTATCGACTCTGGACACTGGTCCACGGCGGCGTGCCGTGTGAAATAAAGCCGAAATTGCGTTAAGGACGTCGGTGTCCCAGAGACGGTGAAGTATGGAGAGCCTGCCATGCAAGGCGAATTTTTCAAATCTTTCTAAAGAAGTAAAAGAATTTCGCTATTGTTATACATTGGATTTATGTTATAGCTAGATGTATAATATTTCAGTTTGTTTCTTTACGTTGTTCCAGTAACAGAAGTCATGTAGAGTAGAAATGTACGTCAGGACGAGATTGAATGTTGAACTGGTAGGGACGCTGCGATTAGCAGTCACAGGCAATTTTATGGTATTAATACTATTCTGATATTTCATGGAAGTGTAAGTATTTCTGATTTTCGATATGTAGTGTTCTGAAAAGTCATAAAGGTTTTTCATTAGTGCAAAGTGTAATAGCTTGACCACTTTTAATTGTTATAAAAGCATTAATTATCGACCGAGTGTTCACACGTTTTGGAGTGTGAATTGTATTTAACTGGCTGTGGTTTGTCCGCACTTTTGAACACCTGCTGGTTCCCTGTAGACATACAGTTTGTTTGCCAACTGAGAAAATTGCAACTTCTCGTGGAATAACCGGTAAGCCTGTTTAAGGTTAGTTACTTCGTTCATAGCCTAATTTAAGTAGCCTAATATAATAAGGCGACACCTGTTGTGTATCAATCTAATTACAAAGTAAACAAGAAACAAAGGACTAAATTGTATAAACATTTTCACTCTTTGTGTGTGTGTGTGTCTCTCTCTCTCACTTAAAGAGCGAGCGAATTCCCTTTGTCACGCTGTGTGTGTTTTCACGACGTTACTAATTCGATTTATTTTCACACGTCAACTACATTAGCGCTGTTTTATTTATAAAAGAGGAGCACCTATATTAGCTTTGTTAGCATTCATCAGTATGGAATATTATCTCTGAACTACAAGTGTGAAAAATTATTAAGTTTAAGGTTTACATGCGTCATGTTTGTGTTTTATGATTAAAATATATAATAAAATTCAGGTCAATACACAAACTTTATTTAGATGTTAAAATTT